CGGGGCCTCACCTGCGCCGGCAGGTAGGCAGCTACCTGGTAACGCGGGCCTGGCCCTGGAGGCTTGGGCAAGCGCAGCCAGCCCGGGCCTCGCCAGGGACCGAGGGGCGCCGGACGCGGGGCCTCGGCCGCTCACCATGGAGGGCCGACGCTTCTCCAAGTTGCTGCAGAAACTCACGTCCCGCGCAGGCCACCAGTACGTGCCGCTGGAGAGCGGCGAGTTGGAAGCCCTGGTGAGTCGGGGCGGCTGGGCTCGGGGCGCGCGACCTGTCCCCCTACACACACCCACCGCTCCCCCAGGACCCCAGCTGCGCAGTGGAGGTTGTCGTCCCCACCTCGCCCTCCCCGCGGCTCCAGAAAGAAGTCCTTCTTCTTAGCGCTTTTCTTCCGGGCGGGACGCTTTAGAATTTTACTTTCCCGCGACGGCCCATTTTGCGGATGAGAAAGTGAGGCCCGGAAGAGATTGAGTAGGACCCTTAGGGTCTCACCGCTAATGCACGACCTAGCTGGGGAATGAACTCTGGTTTCGTTGACTCCAGAGAATTTAACTCCAGGGAATTGGACCTACGTTTATCTGTCTCCAGACTCAGGCTCCTGGGTGGATTTTTAAAAGTGACTTGGATTGAAAAGAAACAAAAACAAAAAGGCAGTGCGCCAACGCATTACCAACAGGTGTAGCCGTAAGGGCAGCAGAGGGGCTCCCAGCCTTGCACTTTGTAAACGCTCTCTGACTTGCTTGTTGTCTTGGGGACCTCCAGGGGACCCTTAGAGTAAACCCACAGGGGTGAGGGCAGGGGAGTTGATGGGCTGACTAACTGACAAAGCCCTTGGGTAGCGCCCTTCTGTTACTCTGTTCAAAGCCGGGGATGGCTGGTGACCCCCACAGCACCTTGGCCTCGGCTTCCTCGGCAGAGCTCCTCGCTGGAGTTAAGAGCAGGGAAGCATTCCGTTCTGGCAAAGTATATCCAGGTGTGCTTCCCCCCCCCCCCTTTTAATCAGTCATTCCAAAAATTCCTGGAAATTCATAGGAATGACTACTCTGCTGTGACAGATTTTTGAAAATCTACACAACACAACATTGGTCAGTCCAATGTCCACACTTAGAATTCAGTGATGCTGGTGACATTTTCATGTAGTGCCACCATTAACTCCCTCCTCATCCAAATACTCCATCACCATTAGCATAAAGTCACTGACCCTGGAGTGGAAAGTCCCCTTTCCCCCTCCCTCCCACTCCTGGCAACCACTGATGAGCTCTGGTTTCCATCCCTTTACTGGTTTCACTTCAGTGAGATCACACGGTACTTGTCCTGTGACCAACTGACGCCGGTCAGCATGTTTTCAGGTTCACCCGTGTTGCCGCCTGCCTGAGGACCTCATGTCTCTTTATGGCATGGTGGTATTCCACTGTGTGAATTACCCCATGTCATGTAACCATCACCTGTTGATGGACATGGTGGTGGTTTTCGTCTTTGGCTGCTGTGGAAAGTGCCCCAGCGCACACTGCTGCACGGTCTCTGTTCACATTCCCACCTTCCTTTCTCCGCCCACCCGGGACTGGGATCTCTGGGAGTTCTGTGTTCTGCTGTGGCCTCCTGACCGCTGAAGGGAAACCTCAAAGTCAAATTTATTTTTTAATGAAGAAGATCAGCTGAAACATGTTTGATGTCAAATTTTACATTTTTCTGCCAATGAATGGCAATAGTCAAAACGTTTTGCTTTGACACCTCTTAAGTATTTGTGCATTTTAAAAATCATATTTTATAAAGGGTGTTGGAGTGAGTATTCTGGTGTTAGGATGGGGAAAACTGCAGTGTCCTGTAATTAAACCAAAAAAAAAACCAAAAAAAAAACCTAACATATTGCCATCAAGTCAATTCCGACTCATAGGACCCTCTTTGGGTTTCCAAGGCAGTAAATCTTTACAGAAGTAGATTGCCCAACCTTCCTTCCACAGAGTAGCTGTTGGGTTTGAACTGCCAACCTTCTGGTTAACTGTGAAATGCCTTAGGCACTACGCCACCAGAGCTCCTCGTCATCTAAGTGGCACTCTTGGATTCTCCCTCTGAAGTTGAAGTGTCAGGTGTTGAACATCGAGGGGCTGGACGGAGATAATGTTGCCGTGATCCAGCATGCTGTCTTATTCTGAGTTGTGTGCTGTTCAGGTAGTTTGAAGTTAATCTGCCAAGGCCTTTGCGGTGTTACTTTCCCGCCTCCACGCTTGGATTGTTGCAGCACGCTGGGTGACTTGCAGACACTCATGCTGTGTGATGGGTGATGGTCAGGCGTTTTAGGCTGTCCAGATAAGCTGAGTTCACAGTGATGCACATGAACGGAGAGCCTGGGGCTCTGTGGGTTTGATCACTGCCCCAAGGTGGACAGCACTCCCCAGAGCTTTCCAGAAGGGTCCTCCAGCGCTGGCCAGGGCTTCACATGGGGTGCTCACTGGGCTGTGGACCAGCACCTGGAGAGACTGAGTGTGTGTGACATGCATGGTGACCTGGCAGTTAGGAGTGGCAGTCTCCTACTCAGGCAGCCGGCACGGATGACCGTGAAGAAACAAGGTGCCCCGTCTCAAACAAGGTGCCCTGTCCCTAAGGCGCCTCGTGCAAACACAGGAAGTACACTACAGGGAAGCAGGGCAAGGATGAGGGAAGGGGCCAGCTGGGGCCCCGCCACCTGCTTCCTCACAGGGCCACCACGGCCCCAGCAGCTCCTCTGCTTTTAGATGTGCATCCTCCAATTTGGTCCCTTTCCCTCAGGAAAGGAGCCTTGGTGACACCATGGTTAAACACTAGCTGCTAACCACAAGGTCGGTGGTTTGAATCCACTAGCCACTCCATGGTAGAAAGATACAGCAGTCTGCTTCCATAAAGATTAACAGCCTTGGAAACCCTATGAGGCAGTTCTACTCTGTCCTGTAAGGTCTCTATGAGTCAGAATCGACTCAATGACAGTTGTTTTTTTTTTTTTTTTTTTCTCTCAAGAAAGTTTTGGAACAAGGCACTGTTGCTTCTGAGGACTGTTTCCACAATAGCCCCTGACCCTTTCCTATGAGAGGGTCATTTATATGTATGCAAAGTCCACCACACTCATGGTGGCTTCTTACCCTCCCAATATCCTTGTTGTATTTACCGGGACTGTAATGCTCATCACACTGATTGAGAACCTGCTGTGTCTTCCCTCGGTCCTCTTAGCACCCAGGTGAAAACTGTTCCTGTGGCAGTCTGCTAGATGAGGATGTTCAGGTGGTGAGGTGAAGACTCAGGCGGGCAGATTTCCTTCCTTCCTCCACCAGTATTTACCGAGGGTTGACTGCTGAGCACTGGGGACACAGCTGTTTGCAAAAGAGTGGGGGAAGGGCAGGCGTCAGTAGCCAGCGTGTTTCAGATGCAGTGGTCCGATGCTGTGGAGAGAAGTAACGCAGAGTGACTGGGCTGGGGAAGAGGGTGAGACATGGGGCCTGGAAGACCCAGAGCTACTTGGCGTGGAGGCTGGATTTGAACACAGCTCCCACTAGCCCTAAGACAGCACACTTCACTCCCACTGTAATGACAGGAAGGTGTTTGAGAGCCCCCTGCCCCATGTGAATTTCCTAGGGCTTCAGTAACAAATGACCACCAACTGCCTGACTTAAGTGCTTCAAGACTAAATTATTTTCCACTTTGAATTTTTTGTTGAAATCATGTGTTTTCAGTAATGGAGGGCATTTTGAATAAAATGAAAAAAAAAGTTTGAGGTGATATTGATACAATTAGTGGGCTATCTGTGTCCCACAGGTCACTGGGGTTGGAGGAATAAGGCCCATTTCTTCAGATTCACAGCTAGAGAAGCCCCCACCAGATGGCAGCATGCACTAGGAGTGGGATAGGTGGTTCCCACTAAACCCCAGTGTTGGAAAATATAGATGGGCACTGTATGATGGGTCATGAAAGGGTTAAAACAACAGAAATTCACTCTCTGTTCTGGTTCCCTGGTGCTGCTCTGACAAGAATATATACCGCACATGGGATGGCTTGAACAAATAGGAGTTTATTCTTTTACAGTTTGGGAGGCTAGAAGTCTGAGTTCAAAGTGCCAGGCTCTAGGTTTGAAAACCCCTCGACCTTGGGCTCCAGCTCTGCCTCTTGCTCCCGGCCCACTGGAGCTAGAGGTGTTTCTTCACTCAGACAGCTGCTGAGGCTAACAAGCTCAAGGTCGACAAGTAAAAAGGCACAGTCCTGATGTTACCAAACCACATGGCAGGCCATTAATTTCAGTACATTGTAAGTCCCAAGGTCAGCAGAGCGTGGCAGGCTGCTGAACAATGACATGGCTACATGCAGGGTCCAAGCGTGCCGTAGGCTAGAGACTATCCCCAAGGCTTCTCCTTCTATACAGGAAGCAGACCACGTCCCAAAGGCAGCTACTCAGCTGCTTGTGGTACATCCCACCATGGAGATGATTGCCAGTCTCATCATGAGGAATAACTACCACCAACTGCCTAGCCACTCAACCAGGCCCAGCCAAGTTGACACACAAACTGAACTACCACACTCCGGCACAGTTGTGGAAGACGGCAGTTGGAAATCACGGTGTGGGCAGGTCCACACTCCCTGTGAAGCAGGACTTGGAAAAAGAATCGCCCACTCGACAGCACATAACAACAACAACAACAACAGGGATGTGGTTAAAACGCAGCTTCTGGTCCCATGCATCTGGGGTGGAAAGGAAGATTCTCAGCAGGGGGTCGACTGGAATGGACCTGTGGGCTCGGCCTTGGCTTGTAGCTGCATCTCTCAAATCTCAGTGTCTGCTGTCAGTGGCACTTGTCCCTGTGTCTCTGCGTGTTTGATAAGGGTGTCTGTCAGTAGCTGGCTTTAGGGCCCACCTGGCCCAGTATAGTTGTTGTTGTTATGTGCCGTCGAGTCGGATCCGACTCACAGCGACCCCTCCTTGGGTTTCTGAGGCAGTATCACTATGGAAGTGATTGCCCCATCTTCCTTCCAAGGAGTGGCTGGTGGGTTTGAACTGCCAGCCTTCTGGTTAGCAGTCAAGTGCCTTAGGCACTATGCTACCAGAGCTCCTCCCAGTATAGTATCACCTTGTAATCACACCTGCAGAGCCCCCGTTTCCAAATTCAGTCACACTCACAGCTCCTAGGAGGGTTGGGCCCAGCACATCTTTTTAGGCAACCCAGTCCCACTGAAGCATACCACCTCCTTAATTTAATTACTGAAAATAGTTTCTCTGC